ACCTTTTTAGTTACAGAAGATACACATTTATGGGGTGTCATCAGAACCATGGATGAAGAAAGAAAAGTTACATTATATTTTTCATACTTTCCCCAGGCTATTAACCATATGAACCATATGAACCAGCTTACAAATAATAGTTCTTACTAATTTTCAATTTGTCTCTGCCTTACTATCAAATTTAGGTTATTTATTTATTTTTTTGCACTGCACAGAAAAGCACCTTACAGACTCATGCAACATCAAAGTGATTATAAACTGGGGGCATTGTAAGCCAATAATGATTCGCATAACTTAAGTAGCATATTCTCTATAATATATAAAAGGTGTTATTTGGTTTTCTGCAATATTGAACTTTTATAGGGAAGATTTTAAAAAAAAGATCACTTGCTTAATAGAGGTTGCTAAGTATGTTTCCTAAGGCATCTGAAATTCAATCTCTTCACTGGTATCAAGAAATCACTAAGATAACATCACTAATTTCTGTTCATGTAAGACACAATAGAAGCAGACATTGATAGGAAAAACTAGTCAGGGCAAGTTTCATTTGATTAGATCATAAACAATAGCTCTTTATCAGGCTTTTGCAACTATAGAAATAAAAAAAGAGCTAGACGATAAACCTAAGCAAATACAAAATTTACAGGAAGTTCTTAAATCACCTATTGAAAACTCACTAAAGAATTGGACCACACATGTTTTTCAAAAGTAAATGGATTGCCAAAACTTCTCACTCTGTTCTCACTACAAATGGGGCCATAGTTTGCATAGTATTATTCATGCATTCTTAAGAATTCGGTACCTAATTTAGATAAATACATTCTAATTTTGCTATCCTTGATTTTTTTTTTTTTCAAATCAGAGTGAAGATCTGAAAAGAAATGCTGAGAATTTCAAATCTGCTTAGGAGTGAAAATTCAAGCAAATCATCTTACATTCAGAGCTTAAGTTTATTTCAAGGTTATCACCTCAAATGGGCAACATGTCTTTTACAATATCTAATTCCTCCATTTTCCCATTGTTTACCGAAATTTTGATATACAGTGAAATGAAAGACAATGAACATAACTCTTTTGCCACAAAATCTGAATAATGTTCAAATGATTCCCAGGCAGTTATAGAAAGGGAAAATAGTCATAAGACATTAGAAACATTTCACCTAGTCTATTTCTGAGTTTTGCCATAGTATAACCTGGAACAGCTGGTTACCTCTTTTGAACTGTTGGGATCTTACAGGAATATTCTATAGCACTTTATAATAACCAGTTCATAATGCTCCTTTTTATCAAAGGCAAGCAGTACCTCTGCAATGGGGCAGGGTCAAGAGAAGAAAAAAAGACAGAAGACTTTCTCTATTCAGCCCCTTGACTCCACCCCACCCCAAACTCCTTTGTACCTGCTATGATTCATTAACCAGGTCCCCAAGGAAATCTTAGGCATGGGGAGCCTTTTATTAACTACTTAAATTTGGCAGCTATACACCTGAAAATGATAACTATGAGCTATAAGCTCTTAAGGCAATGGAATCTTCCATTGGCTTACAGCCATGTATTCATTCTATAAAATTAGAAAGCCCTACTCTCTGCTCAGTTCTGTGGAAATCATTGGGAATATCAATACAAAAAGAGGAAGAACCTATTTGATCTTTCCCAATAATTTCACTTCTAGAGCACTTTCCTCTACATGTGACAACCCCATACCAGTAGTTCCCCCAACTTCTGAGGACCTGTGGCTGTTTTCAAAGAACCTTGGTGGCCAAGGTTTACAGTCATTCAGTAGTTATCATTTCTGTCTCCAATTCTGAGTGATTTAAGTATTAGCATGCATGATACATATATAACTCCAGCTTCTCATTATTTTAACTTCCTATTCTACCACCATGAAAATTCACAGCTAATTAGCTTTGTCACCTACTTAAATCACTGCTTTGGAAATAGTGATCAGCAATGTCTTCTTTTTGAATACTTCATGACTTTCAGTTCCTTTACTAACTTTTCTTATCTTCCTTTGTCACTTGATCCCCTTACTTCCTAATTGCCAAATTCTACCTAAATTTAAAACTAAGTTCTAGCTTCCTCTACCCAACATAGCCCCGAAATACAATATTCTTACCAAGTTTTACCCAAGTCATCACAGCCCTCACCTAGGTGTCATCTGTATGTTCTAGAACAGCTGCTGACTGCTGGCTACTTCACCACTACCAGTTGGTACTGTTGTAAAATACTCATCTGATTGAATTTCCTAATGCTGGTTTCTAGCTTATCCTCCCTCTTGTTCTCCACAAAGATAAGCCTTATTACTTTCCATTGTCAACTGTGTCACAGGGATTCTCAAACTCCACAAAGAAAACCTCCGGTTTTATATGGGTTTCTATCACTTTTCTGCTGACAAGTTTCTTGGTTACCAAAAACCTGCACCTGTCCTCTCTGGCACTCCAGGAGCAGAGAAGTGTCTCTTCTCTGTCTGGCTCTAGGACACTTGTCCATATTTTGCCCATTTTCATCCTTTCATCTTAAGCCTGTCATTTTTCAATTCCTCAGATATCTCTAATTTGCTACAACAACCTCTCTTTGCTCCCCTTTGTAACTGAAGGTCTCTAAGAAAAGGCATGTACCAGCCATCTATACTTTGGTTCACTTTTAAGTTCTCCTCAGTACTATACCTTTTACCAAATTCTGGTAGCCAAGCTCACTATCCGTAGGGAAGCCCAATCCAAGAATACCTGAGTCCTCCCTTCCTTGATTTCCCTTCACCCTCCCCATCAAACAAATCACTAAGGCTTAGAACATCTACCTCCTAAATACTGAAATGCTCCTCCATTCTTATTCAAGCCACCATATTGCTGGCTTCGATTCTGTAATAGATCTCTTTTCTGTCTGTGGTTCAACCCCTCAATTCATGCTTTGTTTCCCAGCCAGAAAAGAATTTTTAAAGTGAAAATACAGCCATGCCATCCCTTTGCCAAAATCTCTTGAATGGCTCCCACTGACCTCTAAAGTCTTTAACTTGGGTTTTAAAAGCTCTTCACAATCTGCCTCCTGCTCCTCTCTCCAGCCTAATATTTTACAATAGCCCTCCTTGGGATTCTGCACAGTAGCCATGATGAAGTAGTTTCTGTTTCTGAGTTCTTTCTGCTCTATTAAGGTTCCAGGCCTCAGAACACAGCCTCCCCTCCCTATGACTAGAACATTCTTTTTAGATGGAGCTCTATCTACATTTCTGGACCCGTATGGCTCAGATAACAGAAATTCCCAAGAACTTTCTCTGAACTTCACTGCACAAAGCCGGTTGTTCACATAGTGTGCTATTCATTACTGCCACAAAACTAAATATGACAATCAAATAATCTATTCACTTGTCCTCAAAGCCCCAGTCTAAAATGGGAGACAGTAATCACTGTTTTGATGAGCCATGGTCATAACCGATGATAATGTTTTATGTACATTTGTCTGTGTTCAGATGTTCATCTACACCTTGGGTATCACTTGTTACATTCTAAATTCATTTGTGGTAGTGTCTGAACCTATCTATTTCATGGTTATATCTTTAATGCATATTGACAAACATTATTATCCATAATTCATTTTATTGATAAAATAATGATGTAACTTTAAGCCTTTTTCAAGAGACACATAATTTTAAAGATTAATATTGCTCTGGCCCCACCCTTCATTTGCCATATGAAGGTGGTGTGGGCAGGGGAGAAATCACCCCCTTATTCCCTGTGATGGGTGGGAGAACTGGCTCTGATGTCATAAGACCTAGATAGCTGTCCCTGCCCCTCACCAACTGCAGCACTCAGGAGAGTGGCCCCAGCACATCACATGGGCCACATTGTAGCGCTGGTCCTGGTGGTCCAGATGTGGGAGTGCCAACCCTGAAGGCATGAAACCAAGAGTTGAAGTAGCAAGGGCAAAGCCAGAGTGTCCACCCTGACTATGAATATGGGGGAGAGCTGGCAGGCTGACCAACCCTGCAACTACCCAGGCCCAGACCAGGGTTATGTGTTTGGCCACCACAACATCTGCCCCATCTGTAATCTGCTGGAGCACGTGAAGAGAGTGGTCCTTCAGACCCAAAGCTGCAGGATCACCACAATACAAGGTAATAGCAGGATATCTTAGAGGAGTCCCAGTGAGGGCCCAGCAATAACAGTGAGGCAAGCCAAAGGCCTCAAACCAGACCAATGATTGTTTGCAATGAACACTTGCAATTAAAGATGCATAGAGAAAAGTGTTTGCTGTGAGTCTCACTGTGTCACATGACAGCGTCCATGTTGAGTTTTTTTTTTTCCTTTGTTTTTCTTATGTTTTCTCTTTTTTTTCTGTTAGATTTTATTTTATTTTAGGGGTTAGTTGCAAGGGCAGAGGGCAGATAAAAAGAGATGGGGAAATGAATGGAATTTTGAGATATGTGATGTGAAAGACAAAAACAATAAATAAAAAGAAAGTTAAAAACCAGACATGCCAGACATGGTGTTGCTGCTTTTTATTCTAGCAGGCAGATCTCTGAGTTCAAAGCTATCCTAGCCTACAAAACTAGTCCCAGGACAGCTAGGTCTACACATAGAAACCTTGCCTGGGAAAAAAAAAAACAAAACAAAAACCAATAATCTTTTCTCTATCATATCATCCATCTTAATATTAACATTTAAAGAAACAAATGATACATAGCTATAGACTTGATTCAGATAATATTGTCATAATCCTATGATACAAAATACCCTTTATAAAATGGGAAAATGGGGAGATAAAATAACTTTCACAAAGATAAATAAGTGTAAATGATATTCACTGAAAATAAAATTTATCAATATCTTATGAATATAACTATAGTCACTGAATACTTGGTGAGATAGTTACAATCCAACAAAACAGTCTAGGTAGATACTAAGCCAAATATTTGTGACTTCCGGGTGTAAATGTGTTGAAAAATCTCCAGTTCTTATTCTTTAAGCAAATAAAATTTATCAAGGCCCCCATATATTGGCTAATACTTACAGCAAAGGGCCTTCTGCAGTCTTCGGAGCTTCATGGCAGTTCTATATGCAGAGAACCTGACATTATTCAGGTCAGCTGGAGCAAAAGAAAGAAAACAAAGATCATTTGTTACTTCATCAGAAAGCATGGAGGAAATCCATGATGATTTGCGAACAGCTACAAAAATCACAATAATAAGTTAGAACGAAAAAAAAAAAAAAACCAAACTAACAAAACACTTGTGCTTATGTTCCAAGTTTTATGCGGTGAGATTCTGCTCATTTGGGGTTAAGGAAAGAAATCTCTTTGCCCTTTGCCAAAGAGGAAAGCTTCGTTCTGTGAAGGACTACAGTGGCAAAGCCTGCAGGCCATTCATGCACTGCTAGCTCCCAAGAGGTAAAAGGAGGACAAGCATTGCTTTTCTTACTAAATTGTAATCTAGATCTACTGTAGTAAATCTCTGCTGCACAAGATTAAAGAAAAGGAAAAAATATATTACTGAAATTGCTATAAGAACCAAGAATGCAAAGAACAGTATTCCCATTCTGTCATAGAAAAAGGCATGTGTTTACTGTGGAAAAGATAAGAAATTAAAGACAGTTATAAAGCTGAATAAATAAATCATAACAACCCACAGCCATAGAATATTCACTGTTAACATTCTAAGCATGTTTCTATAAGCTGCATGTCTATGTTTTAATATATATTTGAATGTAAAATGAATCAACAATTTTTTTTTAAAAAAAATGACCTAAAATAGCATGTATTTGTCATATAGAATGTGACGTCTGATATATAAAAACACATAATGGCATGATTAAATTTAAGTAGCTAGCATGCATTAGAAAACATCAGTATTATTTTTTGTGGTAAGAACACTTAATATCTATTGATCTCTTGGCATTTTCAAGAAGAAATATATCACCATTAGTTACAATCACAAAGCAACAGAATAATTTCTTAATTTTTGAGAATTTCGTGTGACTACTAACATCATTTCCATGCCTCACTTTCTTCCCTCCAACTCTTTCCATGTTTTCCCACTCTCTTTCTCTCAAATTCATGATCTCCTTTATTTCTTTTTACAGAACAGATTTCTTGAACTTATTCCTGCTAAATATAATTTTGTAATCTTGGACCAGCAACTAGCTTCATATTCATTTTATTTTCTATTGTTTAAAACAATTTTTAAATTTAAATGTATTTTGATCATGTTCTTACCCTCTCCCAAGTACTTATAGATCCTCTCTGCCTCCCTACCTCTAACAACAAAAACCTAATACAATACAATCCTCCAAAGCTAAGAAAACAAAATAAAACTACAGCCAAAATGAAAAAAAAAAAAAAGCCTACCAAATGGTAACCAAATAAAAGCCAAAAAGCAAAACAAAACTGTGAAACCTATTATGTGGACCAAATATTCTCAAACATGAGGCCTGTCCTGGAGTGGTTGATATATCCAGTGTCACTCCATTGTAGAAAACTGATTTTCCCTCTCCTAGCAGATGTTCAGTTGTTAAACTTCACGCTAGTGGCTAAATTTTCATTCATTTTTTAAAAATATAACAAAATCAAATATAATAAGATAAGATACAATAAATCTATCACATTGAAGTTGGACATGATAAAACAACAGAGGGAAAAGAAGCCATGAGAAGGCACAAGAATCAGGGACCCACTCATTTACTCACTCAGGAATCCCATAAAAATGCTAAGCTAGAAGTCTTAATTTATATGCAGAGGACCTGGTGTAGACCTGTGTAGGTCCTGGCAGGCTGCTCCAGTCTCTGTGAGTTCATATGAGCTGTGCTCAGTTGATTCAGAGGACTGTGTTCTCCTGGTGTTCTCCATCCTCTCTGCTTTTTCACTCTTTCTGCCTTCCCTTCTGAGAGGTTCCCTGAGCACTCTCCCTCCCCTCTCCCTATCCCTCTTTTTCTCCCTCTCCCTCTCCATCTCTCTATGCAATGTTTAGTAATGGGTCTCTGTATTTGTTCTCATCTGCTGCAGGAGGAAGTTTCTCTGACAATTAGCTTTATAGTCTAAGGTGTAATTCGGATATTCAGCATGGAGTAACAATTCAACAATTTAGCCTACTCTTTTCTACAGCCATCTGTCTGTAATTTCCTAATAGTCAAGTCATCTAACAGGAGGCTATATTCAGACAGCACCCTTATTCAAGTCTGCACAAACCTTGTCATGGTTACACTTCTTTCCTAAAGTTTCTATGTATATATGTTTCAGAGCTCCAAAAAAGCTCCTTGAAGAGAATTTTGCCACCAACCCAATTTCTTAGCAATTTAACATACAACTGCTTTCTGAAAAAATACATCTGATACAGCCAGAGAACTGACTGACAGACTGAATGAGTAAATGAACAAAAGAAAGACAACCTAACTGCCACAAACAAATGAAACCCATAACACTAATCCTAATGTAAGGAAAGAGTAATATTTTAACTTATATCTAAGTCACCTGGATCAGTATTATTAACATTGTGGTAGTTGCAACCACCTAACATAAAGGCCTACATTTAAATTAGAGGAAATAAAAACAGATCTGTAAGGTTTTTTTTCCTTTTTTTATTTAAATCTGAAACAAGGTTGTTTTGCATGTCAATCCCAGTTCCCTCACCCTCCCATCCTCCCCTATCACCCTAACCAATCCCCAGCCCATCCCCTTTCTGCTCCCCAGGGAGGGTGAGGCCTTTCATGGGGTGTCTTCAAAGTCTGCCAAATCATTTGGGGTAGGGCCTAGGCCCTCCCCATGTGTCTAGGCTGAGGGAGTATCCCTCTATATGGGATGGGCGCCCAAAGTCCACTGGTATACTAGGGATGAATACTGATCCACAACCAGAGGCCCCATAGACTGCCCAGTCCTCCCAGGTAACACCACATTCAGGGAATCTGTCCTTCCTATGCTGGTTTCCCAGCTATTAGACTGAAGTACATGAGATTTCCCCGCCCCCTTGTTCAGGTCAGCTGATTCTGTGTGGGTTTCTCCAGCCTGATATTGGCCCCTTTGCTCATCACTCCTCCCTCTCTGTAATTCCAGGAGTTTGGCTAATGTTTCACTGTGGGTATCTGCTTCTGCTTCTATCAGCTACTAGATGAAGACTCTAGGATGTCATATAAGGTAGTTGTCAACCTCATTATCGAGGAAGGGCATTTAAGGTAGTCTCTCCAGTATTGCTTAGATTGTTAGTTGGGTTCTTATTTGTAGATCTCTGAGCATTTCCCTAGTGCCAGGCTTCTCCTTAAATCTATAATGGCTCCCTTTATTATGATATTGATAAGTTATTTTAAATTACTCAGAATATTTTGTTAAGCCTGGCAATACCAAATAACGAAAGACTATGTAATAACTGGAGATCTTACAGTATTGGGTAGGGAAACAAAACAGTACAACTTTGGAAAGTTATATAGGCAGTTTTTCTTTTTCTTTAAAGACTTATTTTTAGTTAATATATATCAGTGTTTTTCATGCATGTATGTCTACATATCCACTGTGTGTTTGGTGGCTACAGAGATCATAATAAGGTGTCAGATCTCCTGAAACTGGAGTTATGGGTGGGTGTGAGCCAACATGTGAGTGCTGAAAACTGAACCTGGGTCATCCCCAAGTGCAGTAAAACTTCTTAACCTCTGAGCCATCTCTCTAGCCCCCAATTGAGAGCCAAATTAAACATTCATATATTTTATGACAAACTTAAATGAATATTTACAAAAAATAAATAAAAATACATGTTCACAAAAAGCCTGGAACATGAATCTCCATAGATTTCCTCATAACATCTCAAAATAGAAACAAAGCAATAAAATAACAAATGAACAACCTGTCTGTGGTAGTCACATAATAGATACTGATATATGATAAAAGGAAAATAATTACTGAGACTATAACAAAAAAAAATCAATCTAAAAAACATGCAACTGACTTTTACATAAAATTGACATAAATAATTTCCATAAGATTATAAGACACCCTAAATCTACCTATGGACAAATGGTAACCTACCATGGTGTGAAAGTGGAAAATTTTACTCAAGGGAACCAAGTGATAAGATCTAGGTGACTACAGTATTATTGTGAATGCTGTAGTGATTACATGACTGTATGCTGGCAAAAGCTGTGTACTTAAAATGGCAGTGTTTTATGGTGTTTAAATTATGTTTTAATACTGTCAATTTTAAGAGTAAAAAAATACTTTCATGTAGACAGTACAACATGATGTATGAGTATGTTAGTTTAAGCTACACTGTAGAGCCGGTCAGTTGTCTTAATCAGGAATGCACACTCCAGGGGTGGCTGGCTAGCAATTAATCAAAAAGCCTCACTTGAGAGGCGGCCACCGTAAAGTGCTGAAGCTATATTTAGCTCCTATTACATTGGAGATTTCATTAATTATCATAATTAATGTTTGATGGGGTAGTGTTGTTCATATTAGTGATAAGCAAAATATGAACACTGTTGAAGAAGATTTAGAAACATTACCTGCCACTATATTAACAGGATAAAAGACTATTCTAGCAGATCCTACATTGTTAGAAATCGTATTCCAAGCTGGACTCAACACTGTTAACTGTGGCTCAATGGATTCTTAGTTGGCTGACAGTGTCCTTACTATGAGATCAATTGTTTTTAAAATTTGAATGCACCTGGAGGGCTAGTTTTAAAACACATATTTCCCAGTCACCCACCCTAAACTTCCTGATTCCGGGGGAGAGCTTGAGAATATACATTGCTAACAAGTTTCCATATATTGCTGTTGATGTTGGTTCAAGGACCACACTCTAAGAACCATTGTATTGAATGAGTGTGGTCTACACCATTGTATTGAATGAGTGTGGTCTACAAAGACTCAGAAAAAGAACTCAAAACAGCACAGGTATAATTTGGCTGTGCCTTTGGTACAAGCTGTAGGTTGTTTGGTACCCATTGCCTTCTTTGAGCACCTGCTTTCATTATAATGTGGCAGCCAAAACAGGGATAAAAATAAGGCTGTCAGCTACATTCTTATGATCCTTTATTCTCTTTACCCCCAACATCACAATTGTTCCCCTTAGTTGCTTCCCCAGTCATCATTGCTTAGCTTTGAAG